ATTTTTTTAATGCTATGAAATCGCAGCCAGTCAGAAGGTATTCGTCTTGATAGAAGTTGCGACAAGAGTCATTATGGCTCTTGGTTGCGAAAGCCACTATGGGATTATACACTGGGCGGAGGAATGCTTCTTCTCAAATTTTCATGCATAACTATTTTGATTGATTTAGACTAAGTAACTTTCTAAGAAAAATTATCATATTTCTTCTACACTACATCCTCTTCACCTGCACCCCCAGCTATGAGCAACTCTACAATCTCCACGTGGTCATATCGAGTGGCGTGGTGGATTGGAGCAAGCCCCTCCTCGTCGATTTTGTAAATAGCGGAGGCGTCTCCTTTTATGAGAGCTCTAACTAGGCCAATTAGGCCCTCACGACACGCCTTGAAAAAAACAGATAAGAAACAATTTGTTATTTTGAGAAATTATTCGATTCCAGTTAGCCCTACATCAAAGCAAAAGACAAAAAAATCAAATTAGGAAAGTGAGTCGGCTAACTGAAGTGCTGGCTACATGTTGACACATTTCGTGATCTTCTTGTATAAAGAAAGAACTCATCTACACAGTAACATGTTGACGTTAAATTGAGCTTAGAGCTCAGCACCCTTCTGTTCCAAAGCCATTTAAATTATAAATATCAATAAGGGTGTCCTCAGGGGAGGGACCAGGGTTGCTTGCCCTCCCCACTTTTTGTGCTAAATGAATACAAATATCACATAAAATTATTCACTAAATATGTTTTTCAGTATTAGACTAACGGCCTTCCATTGTTTTTATTTCTATCCACAATATTAAATGATAAAGTAGAGTAATGATTGTCAGCGAAAAAATGCAAAATGACACGGCAGAATTGCGTTGCTGGCCTCCAGTATTTTCTCAGCGAGTTCTTGCGCCCTTTAAATATGGGCGATTTGATGGATATTTTTTTGCGTGGGAATGAGCTACCAAAAAACACAGAGCTAAGATGTTCATTGCATTCACCTATTTGAACGTAAAATGCAATAAAATGACATTTATAGCATTTTTATCGCCCTAGAGTCGATCAAGGCTAGTCATCAGAGTTCCTCTACAACTTAGTTCAATAAACATTTTAACGGATCAAGGCGAGTCATCAGACCAGAGTTCATATCATCTTGGCAACAGAAATGGACATCAAAGTCTCTTCAATCAATATTTATCAGAGAAACTCGACGATATTTTCAATAAAATATACATATATAGACAGGTATATTCAATAGCTATTTCTTTGTCAAACACTTCGTAACACACTCTCTTATTCAGAGGGCTTGAATTGTATTTTCCATGCCAAAAAAAAAAGAATAGAATTCCTGCAAAAATAGAGCACTTTTTCCTGAATTGATTTGAGAATTATCGAGTCTGTGATTGAAATCTTGACTGAGGGGAGAGCATGGAGATGACATATTACTATGTATGAAATTTTATACGCCTGTGGCTAAATCATGTGACTGCAAGCTTTAAGCTGAACAGCACTTTCGGTAGCTATTGTTATCTTACTGTACAAGATCGAGTGACACGAATAACAATAGATTGGCAATGAAATCTCTCTGTTACCAATACACCTCTCACAAGAATGACGGAGCAGGGAGTTATTCAAATGATACTGATATTGCACGGCTGTAATTTTCTTCTTAGAAACGAAACCTAGCGTGATCATTGGAATGAAAGTGTTCCACAGTACCTTCTTATAATGCTGCAAAAAGAAAATTGTCACCAACATTCAAACGGGACTTACTTAGCATTATTTTCTCGAACATTTATGTTGACTGTACAAGTTAACATTTCTACTCATCATTTAGAGGGCATCATTGAGAGCGAAGATATGTTTTTATGTTTGTTGACCCAGTTTGCCTGATAGTCACTGAGCCACAAATCTCTCATATACTGTGAAATTTTATTCTCTCCTTATGGAACATATTTTGTCAATAAATACATTTTTTGTAAAGTAGTATAATTAATCACCTGATGTAATCCAACGCGGTGACAAACATTTCTCTCCACTGAATCAGAAATGCTTCTCCTTAAGATGCTTGTCGAGGAGCGCGCACGTTTGTCTTTCTTAGACAGCTGTTTTAAAGTCGACAAGGGAATGTCTTGCGTTTCTGCAGAATGTTGTTCTTCTAAGTTTTGTACAAGGACAGTCGTACTCCGATCCATTTTATCCTAAATTAAATGAGCAAAGGCACTAAAATGAATTGGGATGATTTTTGTTTAAAAGCCTCGCTTTTTATCTAATTAAATATCTCTTGCCTTCCGGATGTATTAATCTAAACAAGCACGTAGATCGAACCCAAAATATTACTAGAAGTAATAAATTGCGTCCGCTCGAGTTACCCTAACCAAATTAAAAGACTGCCTAACAACAGAACTAGATTGTACAAATATTGGCATTAGTATCCTGCTAGCTTAATAAGCTTCAAATCACCTCCATATAATTTACGGTTACAGTAGTTTGATGCTAGCTGCTCTTTCTACGCACACCATACGTACACTGGGAGACAGAGGTTTTACTGTATCGACGCCATCACTGTGAAATGCGCTGTCAGGAGAACTTCGACTTATCACAAATTCCGATTCACCTTTTCAATTCGCATTTTGTTAGATTTACATAAATATATGTCACTGGTACTCTATATTCATTACTACTGTGGAATCTTAAGACAGTTGTAGGCTTTCTTTTTTATTCAAATAATGAGCTACTCAAAGATTATTTTATCCGTTTAAATTATCAATTATTATTAGGGTGCATCAATGTGACGCGCATTTGATTACTTTCATGTAATTTTCGCAGTAGTAATAATGAATAAAGTATGCAGTGTGACTTTCACCCAGGAAAAAACGTTCAAGATACTAAATTACAATTTGCAAGCTCTGCTTCTTTTCAGGTGAAATATGCATTTGGCTGAAATGGGCTTCTAAATCAGTATTAAGGAAGTTCTGTTTACCTGAGATAACATTCGATAAAAATGTCAAAAAGCATTTATTTTAGAAATATATTTGAGCACAAACGAGGCATTAATCAATCTGTGAAAGTGAAAAGTTTAAGGCTTCTCATTATTTTTAAGGTGATAATATTCTAAATCCAACCTTTTAATCAAAATAACTAGATTATTGCAAAACAAAAATTCTTATATGAATTTAAATGTCAGTATAGATTAATTTTTAAGACGTTTTTTAAAATTATGAACGCTTCTATTATGTCAAATCATTATACTGGAAATGAGTTTGACTTACAACATTCAAGTACTACTTGCCTTCTTTTTCTTTCTTAGTTAGTCCACCGGCTTCTGGAAAAGTACAAATTTTTTTACCAACATCATCATTGAAAACACCGAAAATAAAAGCAAATCAACTTGAACTACGCAAGATAAAGGTAGTACATCAATGTTATAACAATGGGTCTTTGTATTACAAGAAAAAGTACTTTTACATTTTAAGCACCTGCTGCAAATCAAAATCACAATGAAATTCCAATTTCTCTTCTCGCAGAATTCGGTCGCACCGACCTGATTTACCGGCCTTAATACAGACTCCTCCTCAAAACTTCCTCTTAGTGTGTCTGCACGCGTTTAAATTAACAGGCAAACAAACTACTGTGCCCACACGACAGAGATTTTTCCGGTTTCTGTAGCATGAAGCACCTAGGAATATTACTACTTTCCTAGGATGTGATGGTAGCTAGCTTGTGCTAAGTCGAATGTGCTACTTTTGGCACAAATTGCACGTGACGCGCGCGCGACTATTGCCAGGGCGACACGCAAGCAAATTGAACGAATAAATTGCAGTGGTTAATAACTTTTGGATGATGAATAATTTCATTTCCGTCCTCATTGTCTGTTTCGAATTTGAAGCATGCACTTCAGGAGAACCTCGTTAATAAGACACGGACGCTCACCAGACACATGCGAGTGAGATAGAAAAAAAATAATAATAAGATAAGAGAGGAAACGCGGTTATTAACATATGGGTATTTCTGTCAATTCCAGGTAGGCAGGAAATCTTGCGAGCATTCTTCAAAAATTTTTTAGAAGCAATACAAATATAGAAAAGTAAGGACAATGAATACATAGATATATATTCATTTTTGCACAACAACACTTAACCCGGTAGTCAATACCTCGGCCACACACAACTAAAATCGTTTAAAAATGTGAAAAATTGTTCAAAGCGCTGGCATTTCTGTTATATAAAAAATACATTTAAACAAATCTACGTCGTCGACCCTCGACATTTTACCCTAGAACTAAATACCACTGGTAATGTTAATATCAGCGTCGATAAATAGAAGAATTACATGTTCTCGTCTATCCATAAAAATATCATGCAGAGCACTTTCTTTTGGAGAATTTTATTAAGGAAAGTTTCGGATACTGAGAATGTGTTTCCGATTATGGTAATTACCTTAGTGAGAGTGTGACGAGGAGATGTTGGAGATGTCGACTTGCGAGGAATATCCTGTCACATGGGAAACATTTGCGGGAAATGCGCCATTTGAATATCCATAGTCTTAATCGCAATTTTGACACCTTGTTAACTATTTGGCTAGTAGCAAAAGCACGTTCTCTGTTATCGGGATTTCTGAAACGTGGCTAGCTGACTCTGATCATACAAATGATACTGATGGTTATAACTTTATTCATAAACACCGTCCCAATAGACCTGGTGGAGGTGTTGGAATGTATTTAATTAGATGTTGACTTACAATTTAAATTTCGAAATGACTTAGCTATAGACAATGAGTCATCATCCGTTGAGTCGGTATTCATTGAAGTCTGTCGTCCTAAAGGAAACAACTGAATCGTTGGAGTTATATACAGACCACCGGATTCTGATGTTAACGACTTTGTAAAAAATTTGAACTCATTTTTGACAAAAGTTAAAAAAGAAAAGAAGGTATGCTGCGTAATGGGAGATTGCAATTTGAATCTAATGACATATCAATCTCATAATCTGACAGGCGAATTCTTAGATATGATGTATTCTAATACATTTCTTCCCTTGATAACGTGTCCTACTACAATAAGGTCCCATTGTGCGACTCTCATTGATAACATATTTCAAAATTCTTTTGAAATTAATTTGCTTAGTGGAGTTTTATTTACCGAAATTTCTGATCATTTATCTAACTTTGTTATTCATTATGAATATAGTAAGAACAATGGAAAAAGAAAATCCTTTGTTTTCGTTCGTGATAAAAATCAGAAAAATGTGTCTAAATTTCATGATTCACGATAATGCGCATGTATGAGTTCTGACAGTAGCTGATTGTTTTTCAACCAATCGGAAGCGAGTTAGATGCACGCAAGTAAATTTACAAAATTCCAATTACGTGTTCGCGACGCGAGAGTATTTCCGGGCATTTGGTTTGATTTTAGTTATCCCCATAATTCAAGTTTATTCTTTGCTGCTCCTCAGATATATGTTGCAGCCGATAAGAATAAGATTTACAGCCCTGTCCTGCTTTGAAACAAACATTTACCAACGTGTATTTTTACGAGGTCGTACCCACGCTAACAAAACAGTCACCGATCGGCAAACAAAATATGTAAACAAACATCTTATTACTGTTCTCTCAGTTCGCCTTATATAAACCCAGAAATATCTACAAATAGCTCCTGACCGGTGACAAAAACACACAACGTATGAGTACAAAGATTAATTGAGCAACGTATGAGTACAAAGATTAATTGAGCATAAATTTCAATTTCTTATCAGCAAATGAACAAATTCATTCGCGTTGCATCGGGTCAGTGTTCCGCAAAACAAATGTTATCGAGTAGCACACATAAAGAAACTAGATTATAAACAGAATATTCAGGCAATAATTTATTTTCAAAACATCAATTCTTAAACATATACGATCGTAAAGCAAAGATACAAGGAACATTCCAAGTGTACCAGATCGGTGAAGATCGCGCGACCTGTGGCGGTATGACTACAGGTCGGAGTCAAAATCAAATCAAAGTTGAACGAACTCATGCCTTTAACCACTTTCCAAGTGTCGTGTATTCTTTTCGTATGCCACACGCTACTCCTAGAACCATACCAGATCGATAGGCTAAGCTTCTCTATCTCCAGAGACTCTTGAGAACGTCCTGTTGCCGGACGGCCACGATGCTCTTCCGAACCTCCATGATCAAAACATTATTTTTTGCGTCTTCTTAAAACGTAACCAGTCAAACGACACAACCACAGGTTAATCACCACTACCGAAGTATAACTAGACCAGCCAAAGCGACGGATGTCCGAATAAAACGAAGGATTTTCAATGATTGTACCGGTAATGGCGATTTCGAATTTAGTGTTGACCCGACAAATTTATTCTGAAGAGACAAACGGCGCGCATGCGCATTATCGTGAACCAATCCCTTTAAAAGTATACTAATTGGCAGAACGATGCAAATATTGCTTATGACAGTTTTCTTAGCAAATACTTAGATATTTATAAATCCTCTTTTCCCCTAAAAAAGTGAAAGCATCAAAGCATGCGTTTAAAAGACCGTGGCTGTCATCGGGCGTTCTAAAATCCATTAAGAGAAGGAAAAAAATTGGACAAAAAATTCTTAAATTTTCCTTCTCAAACGAATGAGAAAAATTTAAAAAATCTATAGGAACAAATTGCACCACTCTCTACGTCTAGCTAGATCTTTCTACGATGAAGAAAAATTTGAATCGTTGAAAAAAAAGAATACTAAAAGTACCTGGAAGATTCTAAATCAGATAATAAATAGAAATAATCGTTCTGATAATTACCTTCAACATTCACCATCAATAATCTGGAGATTTCAGATTCTAATCTAATAGCTAATCAGTTTTTTTTGGTAAACTTTTTTTACCAATCTGGGGCCCACACTCGCTAAAAAAAATACCCAGTTCAATTAGAACATATGGGTCTTTTCTACCGGATCGCTTAAATAATTATTTTTTTCTTTGAATCTGCAACGCAAACTGAAATTGTTTTAATTTTTCTTGATTTATCAAAAGCTTTTGATACTGTGAATCATCGTATTCTACTCGATAAGCTCGAAAATTATGGGGTTCGTGGTCTGGCGCTAGAGTGGATTAAATGCTACCTTTCTAAGAGGCATCAACACGGAGAATTTAATGGTATATTGTCTTCATTTCATGAGGCGTTCCCCAGGGGTCTGTCCTCGGTC